GCTCTGCACTCCTAAGGCTCAATCAAGACCAGCGGGACGTGCAAGCTTACTTACAGCACTTACGCTACCTTGCGAATAACATCACGGAAAAACATGTTGATGATCACACGCTTATTAACGTGTTTATCGAAAGCCTTGTAGATGGATTGATAATGACCTACATATTCTGAGAGGACTTCCATACGATGGAAAAGCGATAGCGTATGCGGAACAAGAAGACTTCAGCCTGAGACAGTCTCAGGCTAACTCGTCAAACTATCGCCCGACGAGACGTCAGGAAACAGGAGGTCCCGAACCAGTGGACCCCTGTTACATCGAGAACGAGAACTCTCGCTCTCTGATTCACAAGCGAACGGCAAGACGCTATCGCTGTCAGAATATCGGACACTACGGTCATGAGTATAGTGTCCTAAGCACCGCAACACGTCCAAATACAAGCCGTGATGACCGCCGTTGGCCAAGGAAAGGTCCGAGGCGTGGGTCAGACCATATCGCTAAGCCGCGACAGCAAATCGGACCGCCAAAAACGGTCAGGGTCAGTAGGGGCGGAGCACCCTGCTGATCCAGCAACGTCAAGAGAATATGCAGGACTCTTGACAAAGGTTGCTCACAACACACAGTCGCTGTGTGCTACTGCCCCCAATGATGAGATGTCCCTCATCACTTTGAAGATCGAAGTGACAAGTGGAATGTCATTTTGCGCCCTAGTTGACTGTGGAGCGACGAACAGTTTGATTCGACGCCAGTCGATAGAAGATAGTAGACTCAAATATGTTGAGCGAGAGTGCCCTTCAACGAGGATGACGTTGTGCCTTACTACAGGCGCATCCGCAACAGTGAACAAACGTGTAGTGGGAATCCACTACACACTAGAAGGAAAGCAGTACGATGATGACTTCATCAGACTGGATTTGGACGACAAATTTGATGTCATCCTCGATCTTCTATGGCTTAGAAAAATACGAGCCATGGGTCAGCTGACAGCATCGATCCGTGAAGATGCCTGCCGTTTGTTCATCGGATGGCAATCTGATGAACGTCTTGGAGCGTCCACAAGCGTGTGGATGTACTACGAGTGAATGCGACGGTCTCACTTGTGGTACGGTCGTTAGTGCGATTGCACAAGATCACAGTTTAGAACGCCACTACACTGTGAAACCAGCTTCCGGTACCTGTGTAGAGGCACAGGCTGCGCCAAAGGTTCACCACTCGAAGAGATCGAGTGGACTGGAACACGGATGCACACCAAGCAGGGTGCATCCAAGAAGGGAGATTAGTATTTTCAAGATGAATAACACGTTGAAGCGAGATCGACTATGAGAGAGTCGATCACAGAGAAAGCCCGCTCGACGGAAAGAGAGTCGATCGAAGAGGAATTGACTATGGTAGCACACCCACAGTCAGCACACGTAGTGGAGAAAATTATCAGCATTCCTGAGCAAAAACTCCCGAGAGAGTTATGTTGAGGTTGCGGATCCCCAACCACCTGCGGATGTTTTTTCCCAGGAAATCACCGAGTCAGTTAATGTCTTGGTGAATGACGGATCAAATGTAGGCGCTTATACACTTGATCTGGCTACACCTCCGAAGTCAGCTTCGGAGGTAGTCAAGTTGCCATCGCTAAAATCTAAAATATTCTTGCGAGATCTGCGTAGTGACAAGATCAAGCACATCTGCGTACTCGTAACAGAGGACGAGTACGTCGCCGATATTCGGTCGGCACAAGTGTTTGCTGAAAACGAGAGAGTTCTCAGTAGTTCATCTATGGACGCTAGTGTCCTCGATGAGAAGACACGGATTGAGCGTTACACGTCTCAATCGTGGGAGTCTCTAAAGACAAATCCTTTTGTATAAGGATATGGTGGAATTCAGGGATCTTTTCCCGGAACCCGTGCCATGCGAGCTGCCCAAAGACAAAGGCACTCGGCATGAGATCGAACTGAAACCTGGTTCAAAATACTGTGTCATGAAGCAGTGGCCACTGCCTCGTGAACAGGTAACAGCGATCGACAAATTCTTTGCCGATCGTTTAGCGGCTGGTCATGTCTGGGAATCAACATCCCCACACAGCTCTCCGACCTTCTGTGTGCGAAAGGCCACAGGATGGTGGCGGATAGTGCATGCGTTTAACAAGTTGAATGCTGCAACGGTACCGGCTCAGACGCCGATACCAAGGAAGGACGTCATCATAGATGGTATGTCAAAGAGTACCATCTTTTCGTCTATGGATTTGATGGATGGCTTCTATCAAATCCTCATGCGTGAATGGGACATCCCATACACAGCAGTGAGCACTTCCAGTGGTATGCTACGGGAGTGGCTAGTGATGCCCCAGGGGCTAAGTAACGCCCCCGCAACATTTAGCAGATGTGTTACGAATCTGTTGCGATCGTTGCGCGATTTCGCACCGAGTCACTTCGACGATGGCTTCGTCCATAGCCGGGTTATGGATGGAAAGACGGACGTGGAGGTTCATAGAATCCACTTCCGGAAAGTTCTTACACTAATGCGAGAGCATAAGTTATTCTCGAACCTCAAGAAGTGTATATTCGCAGCGAACGAAATACCACTTCTTGGCTGCATCGTGGGTAAAACGGTGTACGCCTTGATTCAGAAAAGATCAAGGCAATTAGCGACTGGCCTGTGCCAGTCGACGTCAAGGGACTTCGAAAGCTCCATGGCTTGGCAGCGTATTTGCACAAATACTCGCGCAACTATGCCGAGATGACAGTACATCTCTCTCTCGCCTGTTAAAGAAAAACGAGAGGTTGTCATGGAGCGCTGAGTGTCAGCACTCTTTGAAGGCATCAAGAAAGGCTTGGTGCAATCGCCTGTGTTGGCGATTGCAGACCAGGATAGTCCATTTCATGTGGTCCGTGACGCCAGCGATTTTGCAATCGGCTGCGCTTCAATGCAGTACAACTCAGACAGCGTTGAGCGCGTCGTCTGTTTTAATCGCGTCAGCTGCAAGCAGCTGAGCGTAATTACCCGTGCGTGACAAGGAACTCCTTGCCATGAAATATGCACCGGCCAAGTTTCGGGTATGTATCTTAGGAGATAGGCCCTTCATCGTTTATACCGACCATGCGTCATCACGCACGGCCGTAAACAGTCCACACCTCTCGCAACGAATGGCGAGGTGGCTGTCTTTCTACGTGGAGTACAACTTCTCCGTCGAGTATAAACCAGGACGACTTAATGTCGTCGCTGATGCTCTTTCGCGTCGGCCCTATTTCGAGCCGACTGCTCTACCCAACAGTAGGTGTGACCTCACTGTCGCGACACTAACAGTGAGTGTTCCGTCGTCGAATCTGCTCGATGACGTGCGAAAAGCATACACAAAAGACGAGTCTCTTCTGCGGTTGATGGATTACGTATCCAATACGTGTAATTAAGCTTTGAAAAGCTTGTCATCTCAATAACGCTCTTCAACCGAACGGTATTCAGTTCCTGATGGACTGCTGTACTACACAGCAGTCAACGGCTACACACCTCGTGTCGTCGTTCCCGCTCATAATGATTTGCGATTGCGCATCATCTATGAGAGTCACGATGTCCCAACAAGTGGGCATCGCGGTAGGGAAAAGAAACCCCTCACGGTGAGTCGTGACTTCTACTGGCCCTGCCAGTATGAGTTTGTGCGGAAATACATTCGCGCATGCGAAGTTTGTCAACGGGTGAAGCCTAGTACTTCATCCCGCTCACCCTTGCAGCCTCTACCAATTCCGGCAGAGTATTGGCACTCCGTATCGATGGAATTCGTCTTTTGATTCCCCAAAGACGTTCACATGAATGCTGGTATTCTTGGGATTGTTGATCGGTTCAGCAAGATGGTACACCTTGTTGCTGTACCGGAGTCAATCACAGCCCAGGGGCTGTGCGCGTGTCTTCATCGATACTATCTTCCGACCCCATGGGTTACCCAGTGAACTCGTGTCCGATAGGGACCCCCGCTTCACAGCGGAGTTCTGACAATCCGTGTTCCGTTCACTTGGAACACGTTTGAAGATGTCAACTTCTGACCATCCCGAAACAGACGGTCAGACGGAACGCGTCAACCGCGTTCTCGAAGAGACACTTCGAGGGTATGTCCACTCTATACGAGCTGAAGTAAATTCTTGCCGATGGCGGAATTTGTCATCAACAACTCGGTGCACGCGTCAACAACTCACACACAGTTCTTCGTGAATGGACTACGCCATCCACGTTTACCCGCCTTCTTATAGTGTGACTCTATCGCAAGGGGGGGGTGGACTGCTCGAACGAAACCGAATTTGTTTCCGCTCATCACACGTCGAAAATGGTGTTGACGTGATGGATGCCGATGTCGATGCGATCGACACCGATGACGATGATGACAACGTTGCTGGTTTCTTATACATTGCCAACGACTGCTACAGTGATGGCGATCACGCTCACTGGTGAAGACAAAGTTCTTTCAGCAGTGCGCTTTGTGCGCACTGCTTAAAAAAGGATTAATCAGCAAAGGAATTTTGCTGACTCGTGAAGCGGTTGTCCGTTCGCTTAAGACTCTATCGCAGATGCACTAGACAGACAGAAGAGAAACGCAGACAAACATGGAAGAGCGAATGTTCTTATATTTACTGAAGGAGACTTATTTTTACTGTCTACAGTACATCTACTAAAACACATAGTGCCAAACGTGGGCAGCAGCAAAGTACTGCCCAAGTTTAATGGTCCATTTCGTATGTTGCGCCGTATGAGCAGCGCGTACACGTCTGAACTGCCTGGTAGAATGTGTACGCATCCTACGTGTTACATTGGACGTCTCCGCCCGTACTTTAGTACGAGCCCGTCTCGAGAGGCGAAGAACACCTCCGCGGTCAAGGGCCAAGGCCACCTTCGAGTGGTCCCGTTTCAACAACCCAGTCTGGTCGACTAGCGAAGCGACCTGTTCACGCAGATATCGATGTCTCGAAGAGCTGCAGCCAGCTCGTCACGAAGAGAACGAGTCGAACGTTCGTCCTCAAGTTGCGCGAATGCAAAAGCGGCACGATAGTCCGAACGATTATGCGTTAGGGAATTGTATTTATCCCTTAAAAGCCCATAACGCCGAGTCCGTTCGTGAGCCAGGTCATCTTGCAACTGTTCCGTTACACGGTTCAGCTCGTGAACATCAAGCTGATCCGACCCTCGAGCCGGATCAAGTGTTCCCGCCGCCACCACATCCTTTGGTGTACTCAAGTAGTGGTCAACACTTCCTGGTGGAGCGTATTTTGAACCACCGCGATGTAAATGGCGTCCGGACGAGTTACCTCGTCCGCTGGTGTGGCTATCCACCGGCGTGGAACAGCTGGGAGCCTCGTGCCCAGCCGATCGGTGATGTTCCAGGTCTCGTCGAGCAGTATGACGAGATCCACCCGCTGCGTTCGAAGAAGGGCCGTCGGAAAACGACCTCCCCGAACGCGACTACAGGGATTGCAAAGTGTCGAACCCTTCCGCCATCTCAGAAGAGATGCGCGCCCTCCAGTAGGGATCATTAGGGAGGCGGGCCTCTCTAGGAGCACATTCAAGTTATCCAGGCAATCTGGACACGAATCACCCCACGAGAGACAGGGTAATTCTGCCTCTCTTGACAGCCGATGCAACTTGTATCGCACACAGACTGGATTACGCTTTTTAAACCTGATTCAAGCTGCCATAAGTTTACCAAGCCAGGCCTCACGGCCAAAAAACTAGATGTTATGGATGAGGGCATTCCATCCTTGCACCGAGGCTTTGCCGTCTCGAACACGGCTACCATTGTACCACCGATGTTTGAAAAACGCATTGGCGAAGAACTCTTCCTCATCACGGAAAGTTTCCGTGCTAGAAACAGGCGGACAATTTTTCCTACAGTCGAACAACAGAATTCGATCATGTTCGGTGGTCATACCGGCCACTCGATCTAACTCTTTGGATGACGGCATCCAAGGAGACACCACTTGAGGAGCGTGGAGTAGGACATTTCGGTCCCTGGCCTCTTGTTTAGTGTCAGCATGAGAACTGACACCAGTGGCAGCTCGATCTCGCGAGTTGCTTCTCTCGTGGTGATGCATTGGGGCATAACCACCATCACCACGCGTCCTATCGTCGGACGTTCCAGCGCGAGACGAGGATTCGTCAGAAGAATCGCTCGGTCCGAAGATATCGGACATAATTCCGTCAATTTCCCCAGAGCCAGTCAATTTGGCTCTTTTAGTGTCCACCCCGAATGATCCGGAGGCGTGAGGTGTCGCCTTTGAGTCGAATGCATTGTCCGACTCGCCCGAAAAGATGAGATCTAATTCAGGCTCATCTACATTGCGATTAGCAGTACCCGCTGCAGACGCAGTGGATGTATCTGTCGCACGTGGGTGACTCACCACGTCAACTGTTCACAACAGGCACCGCCTGTTGCTAAATCGCAACAGCAGGCGAGGGAACACCTGCTGCTGAAGCAAGAGAAGAACTCTCTTCGGCTGCACGCATGCGTGCAACCGCTTTTCTTGCTGCTTCGGAAGCACCTCTGATGGACTTTGGCACCATGTGATGAATTGACAAATGAGTTGTAATTTGACCAGCAAGTGCTCCCTTTCCCAGAGTGATCCAGCGGTGGGTACCCTGTCCCAGTCAATTCTATTCAATCAACGGGTGATTGATGGTCAAGGGGGGGTGATGTAACGGGGTATCCCGTTACATGAAATTGACACCAAACGGTGTCAATAGGAAGATCTTCTAGCATGACAATATCCTACCAATATTATCCAAGAAAGATAAAATTGAAGAGATAATATTCTACTTTAGATAATATTCATGTGCTGCTCCAAGATTGGTTGATAAATACGTATCAACCAAGGTTACCACCAATCGCTGCTAGACGCGCGTAACGAGTTGTGAGCAGGTTGTCGTCATACGACGATGTAGATTAATATGGTTCGATAAAGACTGAAGTTATGTTGATATTTTAACTGTGTTATGTATATTTCTCTTTGTACCTTTACCCAAACTAGCTGTTTGAGTAGATTACCTTCCTCTGCACGTACTAGTGTACGTGAAGTTTTGTGGCACCCCTTACAAAGGGTGCCATGTTACAAAAACTGTCTTAAATACAATAAAGATCTGTTAATTAACCTACGTTTAATATTATATAATTCGGTTTAGCTACAAAAAGATATGCTTTAGTTGGCTCACGACTAATTGCGCCGTCCATCTTTGACTGGACTGCTGGAGCTGTCTGATATGTTGACCCGTATCAACCAAAAGGTGAGTGTTTCTGGACATTATCCTTTATGGTATATTCAAAAACATTATCAACCTTTATGATAGTATTCTTATAAAGAAGTATATAGGGTTAATAACATGTAACAGTCGTACCCCGTTATAGATATCAGTTCAAATTTATCTCATCATGCGCGTGAAAATATTGTCGTGCCAAGATTTGTTAAAGTCGCAGTATGTAATAAACGGCCTACTTATAAAGGCACTACGGCACCAAGAAGAGAAATGTTGCGAGCATTTTTTAAGTAGAAGGCCACACAGGATGACGCCGAGGAGGAGTGTTAGAAACTCATGTTTGACAAGTTTTATTGTTTAAGAGATATACCACGTTAGAATCTCACCTGGTCGGCCAGTGGTCAGACCACGTGACATGTGAGACCACGATGAGGCGATCGGTCTGATGGGACATGTAACGGGGCACCCTGAAGCTTGTACTGGTGACAGTACAAGCTACTTATTCTGATGACAGAATAAGGCGGTGCCTCGTAACTTCACGTACACTGGTACGTGCAGAGGAAGACGGTAAGAAGAAGCGAGTACTTGGTTAAAGTAAAAAGTAGAACTGTATTTATAATAGTTAATGTCTGCAATAAATCACTATTTATCTTCATTTAACTATGTCTAAATACAAATGTGTAAATCAGTTATCTGCTCACCACTCATTGCGTGCGTCTGTCGTGGCGCGTCTTCGTTGGTTGATATAATGGCCTATATCAACCAATTAGGAACTACTCGTAAGTGCTACAGAATATTTGTCCTTATGACAATATTCTGAGAATATAACTCTTATAGTTATATTCTATTAACAATTTCTTATAAATTGTTATGTAACGATTCACCCCGTTACATCACCCCCCCCTTAACCATCAGTCACTTTAGTGACTGATTGACTATATGGATACTCGTCCCAAATCATTTGGGACAGGGTTTGCACTTGTTGGTCCGCGTCCACTTTCCAACATTTCATCGCATGGTAAACAAGCCCATGCGATGCGAGAGCAAGGCAGCCGAGAGCGCGTCTGCACGTCTCTGTGCGGACGCCGAAGCAGAAACAACAGCAACTGATGTCTCATCGGTTGCTGAAGCGACCCAGCCTGTGTCACTTGGTGATGCAGGCGCTGGTCATGAAGACACTCGTGTCTTCACAGAGTACGAGCTCGGTGTCTCGTACTCTCCTGATACGGATGACGGATCCGTATCGACGGCGATTGAATCTAAGCCGCCTGCCAAGCGTGGCATGGACGATGCTTTGCGTCGCAGCATCTTTGGTTCATCTGATGAATCAGATGAACCATCGCCGAAGCGAAGGCGCTCGAGGTCGCGAGACTCGGGCGCTAACAGTGGTGTAGGTTCTCCTATGGACACCACTTCGCAACGAGGTGCCAGTACTTCTGTCGGTACGTCGCAATAAAAGCGTGACCGCAGTGTGTTGCGTCTCGCTCCTGAGAAGAAGGCATGGATGCCTCCAAAATCAGTCATGGATCACTTGTCGGCGACGACGAGTGATCATTATCGAACACGGTTGTTTGATTCGTCAAGAATCCATCACCTTGACCCCAGCGCGAAGAACTATCGCGCTGAGAATGAATTCTTCATCGATGCTTTCTTTAGGCATCGATGGTACAGTGGGAATCACAAGCGTGATGGTCCCTCCCTGCTTCAAGCGTGGAACGCCTACATCCATAACCTTGAGGATGTAGGTCGTGACGTTTGGAACGACAAACTTATCAAAGCTCGTGATAAGTTTAAGAAGAGAACCCCGACTGGTGCACGCTACAAGCTGCATCGTCTGTCAAGGGAGAAAGGATTACCCTGCCTCTCTTGGGGAGACTCGTGCCCATGTTGTGTGAACAACTCTGCACGAGCACCTAAGGAGGCTTACCTCCTTACCAGCCCGTGGTGGCGCGTACGTGTCTCTACTGAGATGTACGAACGGATTGACAACCTGAAATCCCTTTACGACCGTGCCGGGAAGATTTTCTCCGGCGGTCCTTCTGCGGCACAGGATGTGCCGCGTCGTACTGCTCAACCAGACCCAGTACGTCGATCATCAATTGGGAACGGGGCTCCCAAGAATCCCAGGACGGGGGATAGCCGCGCCACCGGACGAGATAACTCGTCCGACGTCCGTTCACGTCGCGGTGGTTCAACAGCTGCTCAACTAGATAGCGCTGGCCACCGCGAGAGTCCTCTAATGGAGGTGGAGGAGGAGGAAAGACGCTCTCCACACGATCATGTGGATCGGTGTGTTCCCGAGAGCTTCTTTGATCGCGTAACGCAAGGGTTACGCGACGATCTCGAACATGAGCGGAATAGGCGTCTCCAAATGGCGGACACTGCCTCGAAGCATCGAGCTGAGTTTGCCTTTGCTCAGCTTGAGAACGAGAGATCTCTGACATCTCTTCGTGACGAGCTAAGGGTAGCTCGTGGGATTGTTGATCGGTCTCGGGCTGAGATAACTGCTCTTCAGACCCTTGTTGATGCCCACCATCGGGAGCACAAGGCTCTCTGCGAGATGCTTGAGCGCAAGGGCGTTCTTCATCGGAAGAAGCAGCGTACTGATGGTACGGCTTAAGCCGACCAACGTAAAACGTGGGATGCGTTCGCATCTTACGTGGTAACTCGATCGTGTATGCATTGCCTAGGCGGTGCAATACACGAAATGGGCCGATGTACTTGGGTAGTAGTTTACTGCTACCCAAGTTAGTCACTACATGCTTTGGTAGATTAACTGTAGACAGTAGGACTAAGTCACCTTTGTTAAATAAAAGAGTGTTTGCCCTTCCATTCTTGTCAGCGTTTTGCTTTTGCTTATCCACCGCTTCGGCGATGGAGTCTTGCACAAAACGGACTACCGTTTCACGAGCCAGTATGAACTCATCTGATGACTCGTTAGCTACAGTGCGCTATGAGCGCACTGCAGCAACACCAACCATTTCTTCAGTGAGAGCTTCCGCACTCTCACTGGCATCATCTTCTTCGATATCGATGTTATCGATATCGGCATCAAACGCAATGACTTCTTCGTCAGAGCGTGATGAGCGTGAACCAAATCGGTTTTTGCTCGCGCGAGTCCCTCCCCCCCTTAAACCAGAGTTACACTCTAGTAAGGTGGGTACACGCGGATGGCGCAAGCCATTCACGTAAAACGGTGTATGTGTCGTGGACGCATGCACCGAGTTGTTGATGGCAAACTCTACCATTGGCAAAAACTCACTCCAACTTTTAAAGGAGTGTACGTATC